AGAAAGATGTTGCTTACTTCTTCAAGTAGGACACTTGATGTTATACTTGCCACCTCCTTCTCTCAGAGTTTTTGCAGTAGGAACACTTGGAGTTGCTTCGTTCATGGCTGCTTGCACACCCCAGGGAAAAGTAGGTTTGGTTGAGTGCTTGGTGATTGTAATACTTTGTAGAGGCCTGACACCAGTCCCCTCTGGGGAGGGTATAGCTGTACTGGTGGAAGCAAAAATACAGAAGTGGACAGAGGGCTGAGAACTTCCACCCTGCAGAACTGCAATTTGACACTGCCTTGCTGGTGAGATCTCCACTTAGTGTTTGTAGCACATGGTTTCCAGGTGCTGTTCTAGTAGCTCTGAATTTTTTGCCCAAGGGGGCTTAGCTGGCAAACCAAGTTATGTGTTTACACTGCCCACCTTGCAGAAGTGGTTAACTACTGCAGGTTGGATGCCTGGTTGCTTTCATATTTGAAAAAATTGTTCCATTTGGCTAGGGTGGAGATCTCCTGAAGGATCAGAGTTCTGTAGTTGACAAGTCTGTTGAATATACCTGGAACTAATTTTAAACTGAAGTGACTGCAATTAGGTCCTGAGAGTTGTGAAGAAGGAGGCGTGTTGGTACAATTGTGTTGCTGTGTTATTTCTACAGCTGTTGGGCTACAGCTAACCACGTACACAAAAAAACCCCACAAAAGGAGTGTGGTCATGTTTACAAGTTGGTTACAAATTAAGTTCACTGGCTGGAAGTTGAGAGATACCTTCAGGAAGATGACTGGAAAGAGCTGGTTATTGAGTGGCGCTAGCTCTTGCCTCCAGTGATTATGAGTGGCAGCAAGAGGCTTGTCTCTGCATGCTTGTGTCTGGAGCAGTTGTCTGGGGAGGTTATGGACTGCGCTGACTTTTTGCTAAATGAAGATGACAGTGAAACCTGACAAAGATAACCTGATGTCTAGAGCAGAAGAGAGTGAAACATAATTTTTAAAGTTAAATAGTTGTGTTGCAAGAACTCCCAAGGAAAGGCAGAACACCAAGAGAGTAATAGTGCATATTGATGTGCTTCAGGTTCCCTTCTTCGTAAGAGGGAAAAGATTCCAAATTTCCTGTGAAGTTATCCTAAGATAAAGTCTGACTTGAGAATTGCAAATCATGCACTTTCACTTAGTCTGGGGTCAGTGGTGTTCTCCTAAGTGCCAAAAAAAATTCATTGGCTTAGGTACTTTAAATTGCCACAGTATCTTAGGTAACAAGTATTTCCTTATTACTGTTTGGATTAGTTTATTCTATGTGTTCAGCCAGTTGCTTTACTGTGAATTGTACCAGCTTTTATGTTGTTATGATGGTAGTATCTAAGCTGAGTAACTTTGGACTGTTTGGTCTTTGTCAGCTTTCCCCTTTAAATTCATCATTTTGAGCTCCAAGGTGGCATTAAACATAAACCTTTGTTTAGTGGCTTTCTATGGGATAGCTGTTAATGGAAAAACGTGGGTGTTACAAAGCATATAGTTTTGATGGCTTATTAATGAAACAAAGAACTTTTTTTCAATGACATAATTGGGGTAGCTTTTTCTCTTGGATTCTTCTGTCTATGTGTTGAGCCTAGCCTGTCTCTTCAAGGGCAGACTACAAGGCTTGGAGAAAACCCTTGCTCTGGAGCTTATACTGGCAACCCTTCTCAAAACTTGGAGGAGCTCCAAATACAGGACCTGTGCCACTGAGTTATTAATTTTGAGTTCTGCATGACTGTTCTTCTGTGGGAAGAGGTTGTACTCAACATCCCCGTCTGAAGCTGTTTGTATCTTGTAACATTGACTCAAGAAGTCCAGGAACAGAAGTTTTTGGCTTCTGTTTTTCAGAAAAAAAACAGGAAAAAAAAAAAAGAAAAGAAAAAAGAAAGCTTTGTGTTTTTCAAAACTTACATGGGGAGCATCTGCCCAGATAATTGCAGACTTGATGGGTGCAGCAGCCATATGCTTCATTGTCTGGCAGGTTAGTTTTTTTTGTCAACTTGGGTCTTGTTTTTCTCAGGTGGTGTTTTTTCCACTTCCTCCTTTTGGGAAGAAGGGAGTCAACTTCCTAACATGTGTAAGGATAGTTGGTTTTGTTTTTTTTTAGAGAAGTGCTACTTAAACACCTGTTAGCTGGTAGATGCAAGTCACATTGAGCTTTTCCTCTTGGCTTCCTATTACTGTTTTCCCCAGGATTCAAAGATGTTTCTGGCTCTTCTTCCCTGTATGCATTTGATAGTGGTGCCATAGTGTATAGTGGATGTTCTTCAGATTACAGTCCTCAAGGTTGTGACACAAATTTGTCCTTCTATAGTGCACCACGATTTTTATCCTGTGCCTTCCTTTGTGTGTTTAGAAAGTAAGGAAAGTGGAGAGAAATTTATTTATGTTAGTTTGCTTTAAAGATTGTTTCTGTGCTTGTAGGCAAAGACTTACAAATGAAAACCACATAGAAGACAGACCTGAAACTTTGAATGCTCATTTCTCATGGCAGTATAGCCAGCTAATGGTTTCTGGACATGTTGGGACTTGCCTCTGTGTGATGTTAATAAAAAATGGCTATTCTGTGGTCACTAGCACTCATTCATACCCTTTGGTAATCTGAATTTTCAAGTTTAAGCAAGTTCCACATTTCCATTTTAAAAGCGGTTAGACTTTCTTCACTATCTGTCCAGTTTAACAGAAGAGTCCCCTTTTGAACATGTGTGCAGCTTCTGGAGTCCAGAAACAAACTTCTCAGCTAACTTGAAGGGTTTCAGCTAGAATGTGGTAGCATTTTGGTACCAGTTCCCTGTCCCTTCTCCAGTAGCTCTATGCTAGTGAGGTGTCCAGTGAATTTCTTCCCTATTATGTGAAAATGCTTCCACTGGATATTTAGGCATTGCTGTAAGACCGTCTCTCTTAAGTGGAGTGTCTGCAGCAAAGAGCAAGACCAGCCTGTGCTAGAGGGCAGGGCAGGGGCCAGTATTCAAAGCTGCAGACAGGGAGAGCTGGATGAAAGCATCTGCTGTGCTTGTACAATTGTGGAAGTGTCTGTTTTGTGCCTGTGCTGTCATGGGAGTGAGTGCCATCATGAACCATTTTGGTTGAAGATGGGAAAGCTCAGAGAGCTTCTTTCAGGTTTGGTGCTAAATCAACCAAGAGAGAATCTGTAGCATCAGTAGAAACTGCAGTAAAAAAGGCAATGCTTCCTTCTAGTTTGGAACTTTGTTTTAGAAGGAAAAAAGGTGTTAAGAGTACTTATTGGAGGGGGTGTTGACAGCTTTAGGATTTAAAATCAAATCCCTCCTGAGGTGACTTGAAATGGTGGGAGTTTTGTGTGTCCTTGAGATGGTTTAGATCGGGGTAGGGGTCACAAGCAAGTAATCTGTCACGGCACTAACTCAAAGTTTGAGGTGCTGTGTGTGCAGTAGCAGCCAAGGTTTCCTTGTTGCTCTGGGGATGAGGTTTTGCTGACAAGGGGGGAGCTTAGTGTATAAACATGAGCAATCCCTTCTGGCTGAAGATAAGATTTGCCTGGCAGTTGGTTGAGGTGAGTCCATTGGTTTACAGAACCAGTTTGGATGCCCATCAGCTAGCAGGGATTTGAACTGGCTGCCTGGAATGGAGGGACCTGCACTCTGGTGACTCCTGCACAACCCGTGTGGGAAGCTGGGACACATGCAGCAGTACTTGTGGGGTTAGGGAAGCTTAAGCCCTCAGAGATGAATCTAGGTGCTGTGCTTGGGGGTGGTGAGATGTGGCCAAGGAAGATGGGGATGAGGTCATGAACTGAATAGTCTCCTGTGCAAAGGGTGCTTTTGTTTCTGGGCTGGGGTTTTTGTGTGCATTTCATCTGCTGTCAGGTCCACTTTGCTTTATTAAGACCTTCATGAAGGCCTAATTTGCTCAAAAGAAGGTATTTAGATTTGCTGCCCCAGTGCTTCCAATTACCAAACTTGTGCCTCCAGCTTCCTTCCAGCTGTTTATTGAACAAGGTGTCTGCTGCACAACCTCTTCCCTTACTCTGAGCTTGACCTGCTTTCCTCATGTTGGTGGAAAAAGTAGGGCAGATTTCTAGCTTTGGGTATTATTAGCCTGGAAACAAAAAGACACCCTGGGTTTTTATCACCCACTTCCTAAAAGAGCTAACCTGTGATGAGGGAGGGAGTTCTTCAGGAAGCACTATGGTGGTGCCAGGAGCCCTGGTCTGTGGGAAGGCGGAGGACAAGCCCTTAGTCTGTTCCCTGGATGTCTGGAGGAATTCATTTGGCTGCAGGTGTAGGGACAAAAGGTCCCTAATGAAGGGGACATACAGTTGTTCAGGGGTTTTTTTGGTTTTTTTGTTTTTGTTTTTTTTTGCATAAGCCAAAAGCTTTTGAGGTGATGCTGTGCTTCTGAGTGGCAGCAAAGTCTGGCCTGACCTTCCTTGTGTGTGGCCTTGGTTATCAGAACCGCATTTAGAGTGTGCCAGTGAGTGCTGTTTCCTGGATGTGTATAGTTGGGATGTAAGAGAATTCAGCTTGAGCACCTAGTTTTTGAAAACTGATCATTTTACATTCCTGGAGCCCTGTGTTAGTGCTTTATCTTGCTGACCAGCTGATGACATTGATTGCTGAAGGCCAACAGTCAAAACAGGATCCAGACCTCTTCCTGCTTTCACTTAAAGTAGATAGGTTTTCCTGGTGACCTGCTTAAGGATTTTGTCCCCACCTTTTTGGGTGGATAGTGGCAGTTGCAATAATACTGATTATTAATCAGCTGTTGCTTTAAGCCACAAATTTACTTTCTGTCACTAAAACTTCCAGGGAACTGATGGATAACTGCTACTGTAAAGAATAAGGTTTTTGTCCTGACCTACCTTGTTTGATTCCTTAAAATAGACCAATGCTGCTCATATCTGACTTAGACAGCTTCACAGCTGTATATGAATAACCTATTTTGTGACATGCTTTCAATCTTTTTTTTTTCCTCCAGTCTTAATTTAACCTATAATACTATTCTTTTTAATTTCTTTCAGAATGGACTGCTGAATTGGGATTTATTGCAGACTCAACTGTACGGAGCTGCTCGTTGCTTCATCTATTACTAGTTATTTAAATTGGACTTTTAATATCCTGCCAGCTGCTGTCCACACACACATGGTGCATTGTTGCCATTCTCAGAATTGCATCTTTGAAACCCAGGCCCTCAGTAACCTTCATCGAAGAAAGAGGCGACCTCCTGCGTACATTTGTAGAGGGAGTTTTTGGCCCTGCTGCCCTCTGGCTTTCTGGCTGGTGCTGTATTTCTGAGACACTATGGAGCCCACTATGGAGTACTGCTTAGCGCAGGTGCTGCAGAAGGATGTTGGAAAAAGACTTCAGGTTGGCCAGGAATTGATAGATTATTTCTCAGATAAACAGAAGTCAGCTGATCTTGAACATGATCAGACTATGCTGGATAAAATGGTTGATGGACTGGCCACTTCTTGGGTAAATTCCAGCAATTATAAGGTAAGACTTTGTCATGTGGAATGTGATTACTATCAGAAGTTTTGATGTCAAGTGCTACTTGATCTAAATGAAAGCTGTATAGTAGACATTCTATTATACTGTTCTGTAAGCTGGGAATTAGACTGAATCAATGATTGTTGTTCCATATCTTGATAGTTGATAGCTGCTATGATATTGAGGACTCAAGGCAGTAAGAATTCAGTGAATGGTGTTTTAAGCATAAGTGTATTTACACTTGATGTTCATAGTTTATGATATCCCGGTTTCTTTGTGTACTTTGTTAGCTGGTGGCATGCTTTGATCTTTGATTATCCCAGTAGTTTAGCAGTGTTCATGATTTCCTGCCATACTGAAAGGTTTATCAAATTGAAAAAAAGCATTTTCTGTGGACAACATGGTAGATCCATTGTTCTTAGCTCAAGAAAGATAACTTGTGTATCTGTCTTCTGTTGAATTCAATAGTGTTGAGTTGGTAGGACATGCAACTCCACTGCCTTGTTATCCCTGTCACGTTGCTTCGTTTCCCTTCAGGTTTAATGAGGAATTCGTACTACAGCCAGGTACTGTGGGAGTGGGGAGGGATTCTCAGCTGTGACTTGGAGAACTCCTGCTCTGGTCTGTTCATGAGTTTCTCTGAAAAGCCTAATAGAGTACTGAAGCTATTATATGGGATGTAATAATGTTCCTTTTTGATAAGTGCTGGAGAATCTGATTGAAAATTCCTGCAGAACTGAGCCTAAAGATGTTTAACTGGGGGTTGTACTGGAATTCACACCTGTAGAAGTGAAGGAGGGACTGGCTGTATAGGTTGTAAGTGCTCTGCAGCTCAGCATACTCAGTTAAAATTATTTTTAACAGAAATTCTGATTTGGAATCAGAATTGGTTGTGACATTGCAGAGTGTTCTGCACAACTGCATTTCTTCTCATTTTTGTCAACAAGCTGCTGTTGTAGAAGCTGTTTGGCATGTAGGGAAATTAAAAAACCAAAAAAAAACCCACTAAAACACTATCACTAAACCACCAAAGCTAATATGAACTCAACAGAGAATCCGTTCTGGTGGAACACATGAAGAAATTTTTAGCTTGCTGTTGTGAACAAGTGTACATATAATTTTCTGAGAGTATTACATATTCGTATTGCCCCTTTTTTTGCTAACTAGCTTTTTCTTACAAACTTCCATAATTCTCTGATACTTCATGATACTCTGGGAAGAGTAACCCAAGCACAGTAAAATTGAAATAGTTAAAAAATGTGCTATTTGCATGGATTTCCTGAAGTTATGCGGATGACAGAGCTGTGCAGTACAATCCCAGTATCACACTTAGTTTGCAGAATTTCTATTCAGATAACTTGCTTGTCTTCCCAATCTTTTGTCTGTTAAACTACACACTTACAATGATATCTGTGGTATTCATTTTCCAGTAACAAACTGGTGGCACTTCTGTACTGCAGTGACTCTGTTCCAGAACTCATGCTGCTGAGCTGGCTGTTCATTAATGTGTGTTCTATAGATAGCATTTGCTGTGATTAATAAGTTCTCGTAAGCATAACAGAGATATGTCTCAGATGTCTGGAGGGTGTTTTCTTAGTGAATGAATATAATGGGAGACGTGAAGCCTTTGAGTGGGGCAAGGTGGTTCTGTAAAGGTCAGTGATGTGGTAGAGTCTGCTTCAGGATCCAGCCAAGGCTTAGTGCACCCTCTTACGCCAATCTCTTCCTTTTGTTTGAATGCCTTCATCAGCATTATCATTGCCTTTTTTCCTGACTGTTTGTGGACAGGGGTTCAGAAGCTCAGCTTTGTCTGGTGTCAGAGAGCACAGGGGAGTTGGTGTTATCTGATACAGTTCATGGATTAGTGTATCAACTTCAGGAGTGAAAGGCATCACTGCCCCAGGTTAACCATCTGGAGAGCTAAACTGCAATGGTCTGGTAACAATGGAAGAAGCTGAAATATTTGTAGTCTGTTTCTCTTCTCACCTCATTCTCTTCATTTGAAAAAGTATCAGCTTAAAACAAAGACTGAGATCATCTGCATGATTTGAAATTTCCTAGCACTTTAGCAATAAAGTGTGTATTCTCAGAATAAGTCTGAGTGTGGATGAAACAAGACCCATTATATGGGGACAGCATCCAGTTGATTCATAGCTCCTGCCTGTCTAGGACTTTTCTAACTAAACACTTGTGCTCATATGTTAGCACTGAGGAAACATCAGTGAGCCAGAGAAGAGACATCTCTAAGGCAAACCAGTTCAGTTTGGGTTAAAAGGAGCTGGAACTTATAATGAAATTGCACCTTTACAGGAAGGGCTCAAGCTATCTCCCTCATTCGCATACAAGTCTCATCTGTGGATGTCATGACCATCATTGACATTCTTAGGCTTTGCTGGTTTTCTGTTTTTTCATGACGCTATTTTGTGAAGTCCTTGACCACAGCACCATGACTGCTGACAGTGGAATCTTCTTTTTCAAGAGTGTCTTGGTTTGAAAGACAGGTGTCAGCTAAGGAAGGCAGGAGCTTCTCTTGAAATGAAAAATGTAAACTCCCTCTCTCCAAATTATTGTAATTTTGAAATTAAGAGACTCTCAGGCAAAGATAGGGGAATAGGAATAATTTCTTTACTAAGAAAATATAATGCAATAGTACAAAAAACGCTGACAGAGTCAGAATACAGCCTGACACCCTGTTGGTCAGGGTGTTAGCAGCAGTCAGATTAAGTGGTGGCTGCAGTCCTCCTCGAGCGACAGATGTGGTTCTGTTGAAGCAGTGATCCTGTAGAAGGGTGTAGTTTTCCTCTGAAGGTCCAGTGGTGGTGTAGATGGGTCTGGTCTTCCTCTGGGAATCCAGTGAAAAAAGGCTGCCTGTGGTGTTCTAATTCTCCAATTATATCCAGGTAGGAATGCTTGGCTCCTCCCCCTGGGTGGAGCATCTCACAATGGGATGATGTAATTTTATCAGTCATGCAGTGAGACTCAATGGCCCATTAACAGAAGATATCTCCCTGGAGAGAGGAGGAAGAGATAAAGGACACTACCACACCTGGTTTTAACAGCTGGCCCATTAACAGAAGATAACCCTCTGAAGTTATGAGGGATGGGTCAGGAAAGAGATAAAAGAACACTGCCCCACCTGTTTTTAACAGATGGTAATAGAATACATACTTTTGGTTACATCTTTCATTACAATTTAAGACAAAAGAGATTCAGGAAAAAAAGAGTGTAGGGCAGAGATGCTTTTCTTTGGTTGGTGCTGTCTCAAGTCTGTTAAAAACAGCATGTATAAAACATAGTGAGGGCCAACATACTTTGATAGCACTCAGTACTCTAAAACTCCTCTAACAGATCATCTTGTGATCTGATCACTGGTTCCAGACAGATGCCTTTGGTGCAGAAGGCACCTAAGTTGGATAGTTCGGGATGCTTTTCAAGTCAAAGAAACATAGAGGTGATAGTATGAAAAAAGGCACTGAAGTCCGGTGCAAAGCCATTTGTATGTTTGTGCTTGAACTGCACCCAACAGCCATTGCAGACTTGAGTTTTCTCAGCAGTACTTACAGGTGTGTAGAAGATACAAGAATGGTGCAGAGTGAAAAGATGAATTCTCTTTGAGAGCTCTTACTCCTCTTTGGAGTGCAGTTGCTTAGAGCAGACAGCCTGTGTTTGTGTGGGCACTAGAGTTGTGGATTACACCAGGGAGGCTGGGCTGGGGAAGGTATTGCTGAATGTTTTAGACCAAAGCAGAATTCAGCCTCTGGTCTGATTCTTGATGTTGTGCTTTTTTGGTTTGGTATGTCCTGTTTCAGGATGGTGGTTCTGCTTGACTCCTTTTCGTCCCCTACTAAACACAAAAGAGAGTTATTTTGCTGAGCTTTGAATCTCTGAACAATAACTGTGGGCTGTGCAGAGCTGTCTGTCTTAAAATGTGAGGCAAAACAGCACAGCAGTGTCAGAGGCTTCAGTGTGTCCTCTCAGGTTCACAATCCTGTGGGAAGGGGAGAGAGCTGTAATCTTCAGTAATCCCTTGGTGAGCCATCTCAGTTTGAGCTGCTTCTGCAGTATTTAGTAATGCTGATGTTAAATGTGCAGGATCTCCTGGCTCATCTGTGGCTGATGAGCCTTTCTCCGTACGCAAACCATGATGTAAATTTAGGTGTAATATAAAGTAACATTTCCAGGATCTTAAAGTAGTTTTCAACCAGCCTGCTATTCCAAGAGGTGAACCAAGAGTGTTTGGCAGTGACCTTCTCTTGCCTGCTTCTGCTCAACAGTACTGGGAGATGAGGTCTCTTGCACCTTTCTTTTCCCTGGGATGTGTTGCCTATGCTGGTGGAGTTGAGGTTTCCAGTGGAAATAGCCCTTGTTATTGCATGTTTTTTTTTAGACAAACATCCAAGAGGGAACTCGAAGATTGGTGGTGACAGAGCCTTCCAGCAGGTCAGGGTCCAACATACTGAAGAGAGATTCTATTCAGTGTTTTCACATGTTGCTGAGTGGTAGGAGAGGCCAGTTTGAAGTGAAACTGGATGGAGGTTTGCAGTAAGAGTTGGATGAATCTGCAGTTTTTTCATGCACTCTCACAAGTAGGGATCTTTTGGCACTGCACTGCTTTCAAACAGAGTTTGCTTTCCAAGGAGAGTATCTCACCTTGCATGGAATTTGTCCCGATACAGTGTGAGGCTGTGCACAGCAGCTTGCAGGACTGGGTTTTGCCTCTGAGAGGTGAGTTAGGAACTGACATGGTTAACAGACCCCCGGGTCTGAGGGCGCATCCCCAGCCTCCTGCTGGGCTGGTAGACTCAGTCTGTCAGGGTAGGGCTGAGTCCTGAGCTTTGTTCATGTTCACGTGTGCAGCACTCCAGATTTGATTTGTTTAGTTCCCAGCTGATTTTGGTACTGAGAGAGACATCATGCTCTCTAAAGTAAAATGTAAGATGTTAATGAGATTGTTTTTGATTTGGTGAAATATTACATGGGTATTTTATTTCCCCTGACAAAATTCC